ACCACGACCTGTGCTGCTGCTTCAGGAATCTCGCGTTTTTCTCTCTCTCCCTTTCTCTTTGCTTCGGAAACCCTTACTTCCCTCTCATCTCGGACGCTTTATGAATGAAGATGGAGCTATATTTCGCAAGAGAGGGCATAGAGAGAATGAAGAAAGCGGGTAAATACCTCGCTCTATGAGAAAAGAAGGGAGGAAGGGAGGACAGAACAGGAGGAGGTGGAGGAGGGGAAGAGGAGTTGATACCTACAGGAAGTGTGAGGGTCTTCCTTCCTGAGACACCTTGGGCCTGCTGCTTTTGCCCAGAGTGAGGGCGTGGGTTTTTTAATTTGTGTTTTCATATGTAGGGCTGTATGGGTGACACTCATCTGTATATGTGGGTATGCAAATAGTTTGTATATAGCTGAGTATATCCATGAAAACACACTCACACAAGACCATACATGCAAGCACAGAAACACTAACATATATGCCTATAGACACACAGACATACATACATACATGTAGACATACATACATACATACATGCAGACATACATACATACATACATACATACATACATACATGCAGACATACATACATACATACATGCAGACATACATACATACATACATGCAGATATGCATACTTACACACATGCATACTTACAAACAGACATACATACATACATACATTTACGCATATATACATACATATATGCATATATAAATACAGATACACATGCATACATACACATACGCATACATAATTGTACATACATTTACATATTTATAAATAAGCATCCATACATACACACACAGACATACATGCACACATACACACACATAAATACATACGTACATACACACGCAGACATACATACACTTATACACACACAGACATACATGCACACATACACACACATAAATACATACGTACATACACACACATACACATGTACATACCATATACACACATACACACAAGCATATATACAGTCATACAGATATTGACACATACATACATGCTCATATGTACACCCACATAGACACACACTCATACATAAAGATATACAGACATACATACACACATGTACACACTCACGCGCACACACGTACGCACGTGCGCACGTGTACACACATGCGGACACATATGCACGCATATACACACGCGCACATGTGCACGCTCAGACATGCATACTCTCACGCACATGCATATATATATAAATATATGCATCATAACTTTTCAAATATCCACTTACATTGATGTACACGATCACATACATGCACAAGTGTATATGTGTGTACACCTTCAGAAGGAAATATACTACATGCACGCACACTCATGCTCTCATATCCGCAGACAGACATGTGCGTCTGTCTGTGTGTAACAGGCCGAGTGGTAGGGTAATGAGCAGACAAGTTATGTCGAATAAAGCAAAAGGCAAAACAATTTTGTTTTCATGTTTTCTTTTGTGCTTGGCCTTTATTTTTTATTTATTAATTTTTTAGATATTTTGTGTGTGTGTGTGTGTAAGTATGTATGTCTGTCTCTCTCTCTCTTCTCTCTCTCTCTCTCTCTCTCTCTCTCTCTCTCTCTCTCTCTCTCTCTCTCTCTATATATATATATATTATATATATATATATATATATATATTATATATTATATATATACATATATATATATTGTGTGTGTGTGATTTATTTATGTCTGGTCCACAGTTTATAATGCCATTTGTTTGTTTCTTTTCATTTCAGAGGGGGAACACCTGTATTATTATTAATTTCCACATTATTATTTTTTAACAGGAAATTTTTCAGACATGTAATTTCATGTAATTAGTATATTAGAGATAGATGGATTCTAAATGACAGTTTGCGAGGTCATTGTAAACTTTAATTTTGGAATCGTAAATTTCATGATTTTTCAGATAACCGTATTACTGGTCCAATTAAGTTCTAGTAAAATTGATTTAGAAAAGATAAGTTAGTAAATAGTTATTTAAGAATTCCAATGCATACCTAATAAGTAAGTTTCTGTAGTGTAATGAATCCCATAAATACAGCAAATATATGATGGACATGATGGTTTAAGGTTAATCTTGTTTGTAAAATTTAAAATTGCTAAATATAAATCTTATAAAATTAGGCTGATTTATGTTTTGGTAATGAATGATGAATGATACTATATGCTATGTTTATAGATGAGTTTTTTTTCTCGTAATTTTCTAGATAGTGAAGATATTTATCACATACTTGCCTCCACATATAAATTTACATTTACGCACAATATATGAAAAATATGCATAAAGTTATATAATTGTTTGTAGAAGTCAACTAATATATGTTCTTTTATACCAGGGAACACTATTAAAAGGTTGAACAATGGATTTACCAAAATTATTAATTTTAGATTTTATGCCGTCACATGAATTTCTTTTTCTTTGAATATACATATAATACATCTATATCTTTTATCTCTCTCCTTCTCTATCTGTCTTCATGTACATCTGTCTGTATATAGATCAATCTTTATTTATATATTTATATTCATCTCTTGCTTACTCTCTCTCATGCATATCTATATAACTTATCTCTAAGTGTGTGTATGTGTATATATATTGCATATATTTATTTTTTTATTTATATAATATATATATTTTAAGTGTGTATTTATATATGAATACTTGATATATATGTATGTATAATATATATATGTATGTATATATATATATATATATATATATATATATATATATATATATATATATATAATATATATATATATATATATATATATAAATATATATATATATATAATTATATATATAATAATAATTAATATAAATATATAAATATATATATAAATATATAATATAAATATATATATAAATATATATATATATATAAATAATATATATTATATATATATATATATAATTATATATATATATATAAATATAATATATAATATATATATAAATATATATATATATATATATTATATGATATATATATATATATATATATATATATATATAATATATATATATATATATATATACACATGTTTATTTATATAGAAATTAGTGATTGAGTTCTATGTCTCATACATATTTAATACTATTTTGTATATGCACTTATTCTTTTACATTGATAGTATTATACCATTTCTCTTTTAGTAGCTATATTGATTTTCCTTCATTGAAAATGAGAGAACACAGGAAGGTAAAGCCTATATTTTTGCAGGACGATGCTGGAAGGAGAAGATGAACCAGGAGAGACAGAGGGTCAGACAGTACAAGAAACAGGAGTAGTCACAGAAACAGAGGAACAGCCAGAGGAGGATCAGAGTGAATCTGTCCCACAGGAAGGAGGAGAGGAGGCCGAGGGACTACCTTCTGAGACCGCAGAAGAGGACCAGGAAGGAGAGCAGGTTGTAGAGGAAGCATTAACTATAGAAGAAGAACCTCAACAAGATGGTGATCTGGTTGAGCAAACAGTGGAGGAAGAGGAGAGTGCGGTAGATGAAGGTGAAGGTGAAGCCTTACCTGAGGAGAAAGAAGAAGTCCAAGAAGAACAAGAGGTACCCTCCAAGGAAGAGGAGGAGGAATCTGATGGAGATGAAATAGATGTAGGTACAGAAGAAGTGCCAACAGGAGACTTTGCCTATATTCAGGAAAATGCAGAGGAACAGACTGAAATGGTTTATGAAGAAGAGGGAGAGGCAGAGGTGCAAAATGAAACCGAAACTGATGGCCATGTTGAAGAACAGGAGGCTGACATAGCACATGAAGTAGGAGAAGAAAATAGTACAAAGGAGTTGGAAGAAGAAAATGAACTAGAGCCATCAGAAATTGAGCCAGAAGTTGAAACTAATGACCTTGAAGTTGCTAATGATGCTGAGGCCGAGGTTGAGGGTGAGGGCATAATTGGAGAAGATGAGGTGGAAAGTGAATTCCAGAATCCAGAAGAGCAACCCATTGAGGAAGGAATGGAGCTCGGGGAAGAAGAAGACCATTCAAAGAACTTGGAAATTGAAGAAGGTATGGAAATCGATGAGACCCCTGAACCCAGTGAGGCTGCTGATCTTGCGCTTGAGGAAGGAAAAGACCTTGAAGCAGAAGACGGTGTGAATGGAATTGCTGGAATTGAAGCAGAAGACGAGGAAGATGTAAATGATGAAGTTGATGAGTTAAGCCCTGAAGACCTCTTCAACATTGCCCCCTCAGATGGCAAAGCTCTTCCTCAGTGTCGTTTGAAGAGGAACTACACATGTGTTCACTGTGGATTCAACACACAAAATCCAAGAGAGCATCTTTACCACCTGAAGGATGAGCATGGGGAGCGCATGAAAGTCTTTGAATGTCCACGCTGTATATATGCTTCCAAGAACCAGCAAAAACTCATTCGCCATGCGCGGATGGTTCACAAACTGAAGATCAAACGTCAAGAGTCTGGAAGCAGCCCTTATAAAAGCCATAAGTCATCTCGTGTTAAGATGTCACCCTCAAAGTCTGCAAGGGAGAGTGTTTCTCCAGGGAAATCATCCAGAAGTTCCCCTGGAAAGTCACCAAGAAGTTCAGAGTCCACACATGATACCTGGGAGGGAATGGATGAATATGAAGACGATGATTTAGAGATGGACGATTCGCCTGTGAAAGGAGACGACAGGAAACTCTATTTCTGTGAACAGTGTGACTATAGTTGCAGAAGTCGCAAACTTTTAAACAGACATGAGACCTCATACCACCTGAAGAGACGGTTCTTCCGTTGTGTGAAATGCAATTATGTCACGCATCTCAAAGGCCGGTATACTAAGCATATGAAATACCATCAATTACCAATACTCAAGTGCGAATATTGTGATTTCAGGACACCATACAGATGGAATTTAGATCGACACATGAAGAACCATGTGGAGGACTGTGGGGAATATAAGTGCCATCTTTGTAATTTTACTGCTCAAATCAAACAAAGCCTTACAGTTCACATATCAAATCACCACTTAACGGCAGAACAGATCAGGGAGCGGGAGATGAGGCGTACCATTGGCATAAGTGACCCGGCAGATTGCACGTCAGATGACCAGGAGCTAGAACTGCTGCGCATGGAAAGAGACGAGCATCCAGACGCCCTCATTTTGCCTGGTTTTGGTTCCCCATCATCCCCAGGCAACGGAGACAGTTCTCAGGGACACCACAATGGTAACAACAGTTTCCGTGTATCCAACATTGACATGGGCAACCATGATGATTCTCATTTAGCTGCAGATGATAGCAAAGATGAGGACGGGGAACCTAGGAAGAAGAAACCTAAGATTAAGATAACGCTGAAGAAGATGAAGTTACCAAAGTCAAAAGATACTTTCTTCCAAGAGCTGAATGAGAGGCATAACTTTGAGGAAGATTTCATTCACCCAGATGATGTAGTGCATAGACATGGTAATGTTTACATCAAGACTTTCAAGTGCCATTATTGTCCCTTCAAGGCAGCCTTCAAGAACGAGATATCACGACATGAAAAGAAAATCCACAGTATACCAATGCCGAAGTCAGAAATCTCCAAGAAGGCCAAGAAAAGCATGAAGGCCTACAAGTCAATGAAGATTGCAAAGAGTCTCAAGCACAGCATAACTTCCAGTGATGATGTGCTCAGTGAAATTCTGCGATTCCCTCAGAGTCTCAGGGATGATGAGGAAGAGAAGGAAGAGAATGTTGTCATGGAAGCCCTTGAAGAAATCAATGCTGCTGTTGCCATCAATGAAGAAAAACTGAAAGAAGAAGATCTCTCAAATGGAGAGAGTAAGATGGATGACAACGCCTCTGGTAGAAATAGTCCAGATATGCTTGATGAACCTATTGGGGAACATTCCTCTGATTCAAAGGAGTCTCCATCAAAAGACCATGGGAAGAAGAAAGGACAGTCATTCTTTGAGAAGTTGCAGGAGAAGATTCCTACCTCAAATGTACAGAATTTGGTGTGTCAGTTTTGTGGACACGAGTCAAAGTGCTTGTCAGAGTCTGTCAGGCATCAGAAACTACATCTTAGTGCAAAGAATATTTACGCTTCAGCTTCCCTCTCCACAAGGTGCCAGTTCTGCCGTCACAGATGCAAAACCACCGATGACCTCATAACTCACCTGAAACTGTGTCCTGAAGCTCGCAAAAATCAGATAACAGACTCTGGAAGACGGCCAAGTGGTTTCAGGGGAGATGATATGGATGACAGTGGGGATCTACAGGCAGACAGAGATGAAGACAGTAAAGACAGTAACGATAACTTAGATGTTCGACAAACCAGGAGCAACAGTGTGACGCAAGATGGAGATGATAAGTATGAGGAAGATAAACACCCAATGGAAAATCGAGTGTTTGTATGGAACAACTTCCAAGTACAGGAAGATGCTGAGCAGAATGCAGAAGGGAGCAAGATCAAGGAGGACATGGAAGCTGACTTGAAAGACCACAAGAATTTATCAGCAGAGGATCTCCAGAAAGATTCAGGAAAGAGAGGTCTGTCTATTTCTGATGATCCTCTTGATTACATTGAGAGTCCTTCTCCTCAGGGTAACCATTATTACAGCAAGAGAGTCTATAGGTGTCCTCAATGTAGTTTCTGGGCTACTACCGCTTCCCGATTTCATGTGCACATTGTGGGACACTTCAACAAGAAACCTTACAATTGCTCTGAGTGTGGTTATAAGTCTAACTGGCGCTGGGACATCACCAAGCACATAAAGCTGAAAACCTCCAGGGACAACAGTCATCAAGGGGCTCAGGTTATTATCACAGATGAGACAGGAGAAAAGAATTATGAAAAGTATGATTGCTACCTGGCCATAATCCAGCTCGATGAGACAAATGCTCATCGAACTGAGGGAGGGATCCCAACCAGGAAGGGAAGACCGAAACGCACCCCAGAAAAGGAAGAGGAGAAGGAGTGTGTGACACCCTCAATCTCCCCAGTTCGTAAGCCTCCCATGGTGTCTATCCCAGTGATGCCCCGCATGCAGGGGTTGCCTCGCCTCACCAGAGCCCCTGGGTCTCGCAGCCGGCCAGGGCCAATGCCCTTCGGTCCCATCCTCCCTGGACCCCAGATGATGGTCCAGCTTGCAGGCAGTGCCGCATCCTCAGGAACCTCAAATTCGCGGCCGCCTCCTCCCTTAAGCCTCCGAGGGACAGCGAAAGGCACCCCCACCTCAACCCCCTCCACTTCAACCCCCTCCACTTCCAGGACCAAATCAAGTTCCTCCAGGGAGTCTACGGAGAGTCCCACAAGTGCCCAGTACCAGATTATCACCCCTCAGGTAGGAACTCGCTTGGGTATTTGGGTATTTCTTTCTGACCTTTTTTATTTGTAGATGAATGATATATATTTATGTATTAAGAAATACATTTACATATTTTGTAAATTCACCAATACTAGTGATGCGTGAGGAAGAGTATGAATGTGTTCATGTTACGGAACTGTTCTGTTATTATGTTCACAAGTTATAGAGCAACCCCTTTAGTGCATATATTT